CTTTGGCCCCAGATCGTTGGCGCTGGGGAGCCGGTGTATCCGAGCCCAAAGGCCTTTTGTGATTTGCTTGCTTCCTGTATCGGGTAGTCGACTGGATGCCTTTCGTGTATGCCTCGTCCGTAAGGCGCCAGTAATTCAAGGCCTTTTTGCCATTGGGAGATTCTACCCTCACGGCTTCAAAGCCCTGCGAGTTAAGTCGCACCTTAGCACGCAACTCCAGCAGAGATCAAAGCAAAGAAAGGGTAAAACCATGGAGTATCAGTGGGATGACATACCGCATTCATTGAGAGATTGTGTCGGATACTGTTCTGCCATCCCTTTGAGCGTTGGTCTCTCCCCTTGCTCGTATTTTGCTCGAACCAGCTATAGATCTCTTGAAGAGTACGCTTCCTATCAGGAGCGGTCTTGAGAGCTTCCGCGATCAAATGAGAATACGGAAGGTCTGTGGGTCCACTGTCGTCTGAAATTGCATTTTTTTCTGTTTCGTTGCGCTCAGTTCCTCGCTGAATTTCCGTTCTCTCACGGTCGACACGCTGTGAAGAATTCGAAGACGTAGCTGACCTTGTTTGGGGACTGGGTGTGGTATGCATCGTCTCTGACTGTTGTAGAAAGGGTTCAGCGGCTGGTGAAGGCGTAAGGTAGATCTGAGAATCAGGGCCATTGCGACCATGGCCCTCTACTGCCTGGATCCAGTCCGACGAACTTTCAGTCACACGAGGGTACCCAAACTGAATATCTGCCTGGTCCGGTCTGGAGTAGGGCGCCATCGTATGAGAGGTCCCTTCATCACAGTATGAAAATAGATAAAGATTTCCATCTTTGGGAGCCTCCAGCGGCGACGTAGAGGCACTGAGGGGATAAGCTTGAGTGGTACTGAGCGCCCATGGGTCAGGAAAAGTGAATGCTGTCTCCAGGGTCTCTGGGCTGCTTGAACTTGAATTCACCCACACTATTGAGCAGGGATTGGAATTATCAGGATTCTCTGCAAAAGATCCATCAGACGAGGGGGATGATGATTGCGACAGCTGTGAAGTGAAATGATGATATGCTCCCTGGTCAGAGTTGTTTCTAGGTAAATGGTAGGAGGGAATGGAGTGACCCATATTGTCTGGTCTTAACACAAACTAATGTCAATCACAGGCTGTTTTGAAACTCCACACAACCTTGTTGAACTGACATCAGAGGATAATATCCGCAGAGAAGGGATGATAATAATAGAGTTTAATAAGGTGTAAGACTGCTCACAAGAGAGAGAGCGAGAGAGATCAAGCGCACTGATGAGGGGATGGCTCCGTTAGATACACCGAAGTGTAGATCAGAATTGTGGAGAGTAAATGCGAAAATAAAGAGATAGAAGCCAGAAAATTCGAAGAGGCCCAGAAATTGACAGGTATTCTAAAGACAAAGAAAAAAAGGAAAAGGAAAAAGAAAGAAAAAGGCGGGACCACTGAGCAAAGAGAGAAGATGCACCAGGTCATTCAAGGTGAACTATCATGAGGTAAAAGTGTAGAGTGCCAGCTCATACCTAAAGTTGACGTCCTTCTTCCTTGTCGCCTTTTCTGCTGCGGACTACCCGACAGATTCATGCACATCTAGCCCCAGCGAACAAGGAGGAAAGGGTCTGGGACTAGTTTTTGGCCGTCATGCGTCTTGAGTCTGATGTACTCATAAAATGGTCGTGCTTCAATCCATTCCTTCTACAGGAAATGCTTTCGCAGGCTGTGGAACAGGGATCCAGTATAAGGACGCAACTAATGAACTCTGTGACTGTGAAGAGGCTGGATCTGGTACTACAGAGTGCTGCAAAGGATCAATTAGTGGAATCTTACAAGCTAGGCCGACCGGGATTATCTTAGAGCTCGCGGATAGCGGACGCCTGCAGAGGGTCTTGCTATGGTCCATACTTTAGTACATAGAGCAACCGAAAATGGAACAACGAGAGCACGAAAAAAGAAAAGAAAGAGATACAGAACAAGGGCCTTTTCTGGAATCGATATTGCCACAGCGTCTTGAGGAACCCCAATTGCTTCTCTTTCAATCCATCCTGCAGATGCTCAAGCAATTTCTCTGTTCCCCGTCCAGCCGGAACCCGTCAAACGGCCTGCAGGTGGCATAGGTGTCACCATAGCCGCCCCTTCATCACAACCGTCTCCGTTTCAATTTCGTGGCGACGATCCGAAATGCGATAAGGTACCCAGGATACATTGCCGGCTCCAAGGTGATCTCCGTCAGCATCGCTCGAAGTCGAAAAGTACTTAAGCATCTTAAGCGTCGCCCCAAGGATGCGGATAAGGACGAAAAAGTGCAATACTTTTAAAGGGGTTGCAGATGAGGTGGATTTAAGCATCAGATAGTGATTTCCCGCACGTGGAACCTCTCATATGCGAGTGCGGTCGTAGAACCGGAGCCAGACCCTAGTTGACATCTCCGCAAGGTAAGGTAAGTTTGTATGACATGTCTTAGCCCTTCGCCTAAGGCACCTTAAAGCCACGGAGGTCGGTCGTCTTGAGATCCAGTGATGAAGCGGACGGTTAGTATTTCCCGGCCAATCATAGCACAGGATTTCCTTCTCGCAGCAGATTGCCCTGAACCGAAATATTCGCGAGTATGGGATCTACCTCCAAGATACGTAGTTATTGGGACATCGAGAGCGACTGACCACAACGCAGACCGCCCAAGAGGTATAAATAGGCGAGATCGCTCGATCGGTAAACCGGCATTGACGCTTCACTTCCGGTAGTAGATCTATAACCAATCAGTATCTGCTATTCTGACAAGCAAACTGCGACTCAGGTTAGGAAACTGGGGGAAAAGCTTACTCGCTTGAACTGAAAATGAAGTTGTAAGATTCCCTGGAGATGTCAGTACTTGTAAGTGCAATAGAGGTGCCGCCAGGGTATACCTTGTCAAACGTGCTTTTAAATCCCCTCTCTCTCTTGGCGCTATAGTCCCACTCTTTGTCTACGATACGAAAAGCGATATCTTCGTACGGGGGTCCAGCCATGAACCGAATAAGGCATGTATCTTCTTCGCCAGCTGCGGCAAATGATTGTCCGCGTTTCCGTCCATGCTCGCGTTCAATGCGGTACGTAGGGGCTTTTGTTTTATCGATAAGATCCGGATAGAAAATGTTGAACTTGTAGCCCTGCACAACTTTTGGTGGCGGGTTGTCATGATCATAGTGCGTCTGGTTGTACTTATTCCACTCATACCCCATTTGCACCCGGTTGAAGTACCGCGGCTTGCGAGGTCGGTACTTGCTGGCCCACTGCGGTTGCGCACCCGTGCTGACAGATTCCTCGCCCGTAAAGATCTCCTCGTTTTCACTGACCCCTTTAGCAAGTTCTCTCTCGTAAAGAGCTTTCGTGGCTTGCGAGAAATCCTCATTGGGAATAGATGAGAAGCGGGTGGATGCTGCAGCATCAGGCATGTTTGTTGTCTGGTTTGCGGAAGCTGCAGAGGGTCTCTCCGTCTGCCGCTGACGAAGGGGAACAAAGCCCATCTTTAGAATCTTCTGTCGTTCGCGTGCCTTCAAGCGTAGTCAGCAACAGACTGGGACCACACATACAACAGCAAGGGCAACTTACCACTTGATTAAGGAAAGCTTCTTCATCCAATACTTCCAACCCTTTATCCTCTGGACGAATCTGGAGCAATGGCTCGGGATCTAGATCACGGAATTCGATCTCACCAAGCTGTTCCGGTCGTTCCTGGTATGTCTGAATGACCGGTGCGAGAGGAGCCAGTTTTGTTCGGATAGATTCAGCCTCTTCATACTGTTGTTTGCGCAACCCTCTGACACGCTCATCGATCACGGCCTGGTAGACGTTCTTCACCTTCGCGCGAGCTTTCCACACCGTCAGGCTGCGCAAAAGCTCTTCCCAATAATCGGTGTCGATAGGCTCGTTAGAGTCCAGCTTCTTCCGGACCTGCACCTCAAGGGTCTCGAGTTGCTCGTATGTTTTTGGGCTTAGAAGTCGATTGATGTCAGCGGCAACGGAGCTGAGAGCACGTCCTTCGGGGGCAGTCGTTTTCTGGCGATCTCGGCAGATAACCTTCATTGTCTGTATGGAGGCACGATATTAGTCTCCAGCAAATGAGAACAAGACGCAGATTAGACTTACTTTCCAAAAATCCCTATTCTGTGAATTCTTCTCCAAGCTCAGAAATGTATCGATATCTTTCTCCAACTCGAGTAATTGACTCTGAGATAACCCTTCGAAAACGCCATCGGGATCCACCAGATCCAGCTCTGAGTCCGCAATCTCATCGTCAAGAGGATTCCGTGTTGGATCAATAACTCGCAGAGTAACCGTAAGCCAATCTATTGGTTTCGCACGACCCTCTTTGACTCGGATCTCGGCCTTCTTTTTCGCTTGCTTGAGAACAAACATGTCCTCCTGCGCCACCCATTCACGCACTTGCTCATCCTCCTGTAACTGATTGAGACGCACCTGGTCTCGCATGCTCCTTACCGGCGGCTGCGATGATCGGCTGTTTCCATCTTCCCATTTTCTACCGTCCCGCTGTCGGTCTCTCTCGTCGTATTTGCGGTGATATTTCTGGGGCTGATGCCACGACGAAGGGGAGCGAGAGCGGCTTCGCTTAGAGCCGGTTCTGTCGGGGAGTCGCGACGACATCCTCGTCGTCCGATCGCCTGAAATTTCGTTGAAGAGACTTTCGATCGCAGTAGTATGTTGTTGAACGTCGCGATGGCCGTCACTTAGGAAGATCCGCGAATAGTCTGGCCTCTGGAGAAGCTTCCGGGTGGAAGGTTAACCGAGCGGCATAGTTTCCGCAGTTTCGCACGTGCTTCGCTCCGCCATCACGTCAAATACAACTGGGAGTGCTGCCTGGGATGATACTAATCACTTACAACTACCCAGCGAGAGATTTTGATGATGTCCTCGAAATGGAGGAGACTTCATCTTCCAAAGCAGGATGGCTTGCCTCCTCTTCTTTTGAGATACTCCAGAACACTAGATAGTTACGATGTTTACATGACTGACCTTTCCAATATCTGGACCGAGCATATGAGTCGCCGGGACATTCTCAACAGAGCTGATGAAGATGCTACTACAATTGACCCGAGCGAAAACCCAGATCAGCTTGAAGTGCTCCTTGGAAAGATAGGGGAAGCTCTAAGTGGCGAACCTGGCTGTACTGCATCGCTAGAGAATGGATTGCAAGAGGATTCTATGAAACTGACAGTATCAACAAAGCTTCCTGCACCGTTGAGACCTTTAATATGGATTATCTATCTTTCGAAGGAGCCGCAGTATTCTACATCTCAGCATCTTATACTCCCATTACTTCGAGCAGAAGCCGGGTGGGAGTCGCGCCAGCGAACTCTCCTTGACCACCTTAGTAAAAAAGACTGGGTTCTAGGAAAGCTGTTCGATAAGATCGAGGGCATGGGTATCGATCTGAGCACTATTTTTCCTGGAATCTCTGGCCTACGGAAAGCTCATGGGGATACGTTGCTCTCTCAAGCTGCCAATTACATCAAAGGAGTGGCGCCTTTTGATGAACAAGAATGGCTTGACGAAGTCGCCAAATCATCACCTGATTCAGTTGTTGCTGCCAACATTTTAGCGGAAGTGTCTGGATCCGCAGACACCAGAGAGGTAGAGAGACTCGGCCCACCCCCTGACAGTTGGTGGGTGAAGCTCGCAGCAGCCAGAGCTACCAGCATGGCGTCTCCAAAGCGTGGACGAGCCACCAAAACCCCCGAGAAATGCCTTGCGAAAACTGTTTCAGAGATGCACACGGAAACAGACAACGATGACCTCGATGACCTCGATGATGATGATGATGAGTTTGAGGTTCGTGTAACCCTTGGCTATCCCTGTACTTGTTTTAATGGCATTGCTTCAGCGACAAGAGACACCACCCAGGCTCAAAAAGGCCAAGGAGCCTGAAAGGCAATCCCCCGCTACCACTGCTACCACCGCTGGAACGGACGGTGAGACGGATCACGAACATGAACCCATGAAACGAAGATCTCCTTCGCCAGAGAAGCCTCCAGCAAAGAAATCAAAAGGCCTGGGTATCATAGGCGGTAAAAAGCAGCTCAAGCAAAAGCCTCCAACACCCTCACCGCCATCTCCACAGCGATATCTCGCATCACCAACATCAAAAATCCAAGAGGACGAGGACACGGACTCGGGTACCGACCACGACGCTCGAGACTCACCCTTTCCTTCTCGAGCACCGACCACTCCCAAACCCAGCGCAAGTACAACCACTGCCCCGAAACCGCGCGGGCTAGGCGTCATCGGAGGCAAAAAGAAAGAACCATCACAACAACAAATTTCTCAGCCTTCCCTCTCCCCGGAATCGCAAGGAGCCATCACCTCAGAGCCCAAGCTGAAACGAGTTGGCAAGCTGGGTATGATCGGAGGTAAAGCCCGCAAGACCAGTGAGGTTCCCCAATCTGCCTCCTCCTTGACTCGGGCCGAGACGAGGACACCGCCGCCTCCAGCAAAGTCTGAGAGCGACGAGGCTTCCCAACGAGGTGCTGTAAAGCGATCCCCTTCGCCTGTAAAACCACCGCCACAGGAGACAGAGCAGGAGCGCGCTGATCGCAAACGAGAGGAACTGAAAAGGGAGCTTGAGGCGAAGAGCAAGGCTCCGGCGAAGAAGAAAAGAAGATTCTAAGCTAGCTTTGGGCTTGTCTAGAAGAGAATGTGTTGTGGATATATCAGTACTTGTGGTTCTAAAGCGCTTGGAGCGCATTTTGGATATCATGTTCTTTTCAGCATCTGATCCGTCTATCTTCCTTCGCCGGAACCAAGACGCTGCGGCTAGTCATCTATCACGACCCTTTAACCATCAACTTATAACCTGATTCCCATTAGTGACCATCCTAAAAGTTCTATACATGTATACAGTAAGGCATAAGAACACAAAGGGCGCGGCCAGATGTTGTCAGATGTTAATTACGCTACTGCCCCCGGTACTCGCCCGCGACGGACCACTCCGTCGCTTGCCTTGCTCGCTCGGCGTCACTAATCGTACTTTCTTCGGTGACATCATGCCGGACGATGATGCCTCCCCCGTCCCGGCGGACGCAGGTGAAACAGTGCTTCCACCTGATGCGGCAACACCGAGCATTCCACGGACCTTTTCGACCGCTTTGCTCTCGCCTTTTGCCCATGGGTCGCGTTTGACGAACCCCAATCCGGCTTTTCTGCTAGCAGCGTCTCGCTTTCTGGATTCATCTTGCAAAACCGCGCGATTAAACTCACGGCGTGGTCCAGGTCCACAGTCGTGCATACAGCCAGGGGTGGCGCAACCCCCTTCACTGAAGGACGGGTCGCTCAACCACGCGGTAATACAAGCCATGTGGCCTCCGTGGCCGCAACCTTGACACCAGGTCCAGAGAGAGGAACCCATTGGTCGAGGAACGGTGTAATCGCCCAGCAATGCACCATCCAAACGCTGCAGCTCAGAGGGAGGGATCTGCTCCGTCTTGAGTGAGGACCGCGACGAGGATAGCAAATGCGAGGTAGCCTCGGAATGCTCTTCGGAATCGGCGAATGATGAGATCTGCTCTGTAATCCAGTCGGCCGGTGGGTCAACGCTCATGCAAATGGCACAAGGTTCTTGCGGGGTATTGCATTGGTAACAGCGACGGTTATCCTGTTTCGGGTTTTCGTATGGTCGCTTGCATGTGAAGCAGAACACATTTATGAAAGTATTCGTCTGGGCGTACTCATACACCGCTGGATAGGATGGTACACACAAAAGTCGAAGCTCGGCAGCCTCCAGGTACATCGACTGGCGTACAAGGTGCTCATGGTAGGTTTTGAAGATGAGCTCACTCTCCTCCCTTGGGAGAAGTTTCTCACATTCTTGGAAGAGTACGCGTAGTTTCTGAAGCAGGTGGGCAGCAGACTGTATGTCAACGTGCGTGCTGCTGTGATTATACCTGATCGCTTCTTTCAGCAGTATTTCTGGCCCCCAAGGCTTGTTTCCGCTCAGGTCGGGGCTGAGAGGAATAACGACTTCGGAAAGGTCCTCCGTCGACTCAGGTACAGATCGCAAATTTGGTGCATTCTTGGCTGATGTTGAGCTGTCCTTAGGAATCTGCACAGGGCTAGACTCCGTTAGAAGTGGCGGAGGGCTCGAAGGACGTTCCAGATGAACGCGGCTACCATCAATAACACTGTCTTGAAACAATCCGTCATCCTGAAGGGCCTGATCATTCAATATGGAGGTGTGAGCAAGCTCTAGATTCTCATGCTCGCGAGTATAGTCCTCAATGAGGGATTCATCCGTTTCAGCAATCTTCGAGCTATCGTACAGTCTTGCCGCAGAGGAAAATGACGTAGCCAGTGATTTGGAAGGATGTGAGCTTCCTGTGGATTCTGAGAACATTGGAAAGCTCTCTGAGGATTCATGTCTGTGGAAAGGCGGTGGCCTCTGGGGCTCGATATGAGACTCGAGCGATAAAACTTTCTTAGGAAAGAGCTTATAATCACGAATCGCTGCCCTTTTGTCCTCCAAATTTTGGTCAAACTCGTCTCCTGACGCTCCTTTGACATAATCCGGGTGATTTCGAACACGCCAGTCCGCCTGACGATTAATGGCCCGCGGTGCTGATCTTTGGTCACTTTCCGGACTTTGAATCGCCGATGTCCCAACAAGGTCTCCTGGGTTTTCAAACGAACCCAGAGAACTATCACCTGCATCTGACTGGCGTTTTTCAAATTGGGGTATGGAATGAGGTTCGACATCTGACATTGACGACCAACCGTTCGAGTCCATCGTGTTCATGGTGCCTTGGTTGGAGCTCAAAACAGAGGGCGGTAAGGGCTCAATATCTGTAGCATCATCGTTCAAGGAGGTCATTTGCGAGTGCGGACTGCCCACGGACTCGACGGGAGAGTCCGGTAAGGGTCTTGCGAGAGGCGTGGTGATATTTGACGTGCTTTCAATTTCTGTTGTGGCATGCTTTGATGCATCTGTCTCCATTACGCCTCTGAACAAGCGGTTTTTCAATTTATCAGTCCTCCCATCTTCCAGGGCCGGAGGTCGCTCGGCACGTTGCCCCTCTTTGGAGAGCTTTTTCTTGACATTGCGTGAGCCTCTTTCCGGGGCCTGTCGTTTCGCCCTGGCCCTGAGTTCAAGCTCCTGAATAACAGCAAACTTCACTATTCTCCAAGTCTGAGCTAGCTTCGGCAACGACACATCCTCTGCGCGCTCTGAATTCTGAGTCAACGAGTCCAACAAGGCGCGCAGTACGTCCGCATGCTTGCGGCTGTCTTCAGGAGCTTCGAGTAAGGGAGTATAGTGGCGAGCAAGAAATCGAAAGACCGCCGGATCCAAAGTGGCCCCGGGAACGCTACCCACTACTCCGAGCTGGCGAGGTCCAGGTGGAGGAATCTTGGATAGCGTCTCTCCTAACGGAAGGACGGAAGGATTCTCGGGAGCCCCGGGCGGGGTACTGCTCAACGATTTAGAAGGACGAATGCTACTGGGCTTACTGGGTCGAGCGCGAATGGAGATAAATGAAGGTTCATCAAGGACATCTTCCGTCGGACTCTGGCTCAAAGGTTCTCCGCTACTGTGCTCCATCTCTAGACGATCTGTGAAGTCAGTAGCACTGAGACCCGTAATACTTCGCCGAGCTCGTTTCTGAGCGAAAGCAAGCACCTCTCCATTCGGGCTCCAAGCGACGGCGCACGTGGGCCGCTGATGGACCACATGCGGAGCATAACGGATATCGGTCTGTGTGAATGCACCGGTTTCGCCTACTGTCCACAAGAGATCCTTGGAATGCCAGAGCAGATCGGAAGCGTGAGAGTCATACCGATCAAATTGCCGGAAGGGGATATGTGGCCGTCGAAGGTCCCAGAGGTGAATCCGTGGATCTTCTTTGTCGTAGGATGTGACCACCTGGCAAGACTGCCAATCTCCGGATTCCTTATCCGTGGAGGGCGGGCGCCATCGCACATTGAGGACGGCCTGGGGTGTCCTGAACTGGAAAGTAGGCTTTTGTCTCCGCTCAGCAGTCGAGGAAAAGTCCCAGACTTTGACCTGCCTGTCTGTGCCGCCACTGACCACATGTCGTCCATCCGGGTGCCAATCTACTGAAAAGCACGGTCTGTCATGAGCCGTAATCCTCATTAATGGAGCACTGTTTTTCCGAGAGTCCCACAGCTGAATCGCACCGCTATCCGTAGCGGTCGCAAACACGAAACGGTCGCTCGGTGACCACCTGATGTCACGGACGGCGTCACTGTTGCCAATGTATTGTTCCTTACTCCCACACATAGACACTCCACGCTCGGCAGACGCTGTCCGCAAGTCCCACATCCGGATCGTAGAATCCTGACTCCCTGACAGAAGCAATGCCGGAGCGTAAGGATTGAAAGCTAGCCGATGAACCTGACGGCTGTGTCCTTGGAAGCGGCAAAATTCCAAGCCAGTCCGATTGAGATCATAGACGACAATGCGACCATTAGCCACAGCGGTGGCGATGGTTCGGTCATAATTGCCATGTGACCATTTCACGTCCCTGACAGTTAGCTGGTCCTTGTGCCGCGCGGAAAGCCCACTCCCGCCATGATGCGTGGAGGAGTAACTGATAATAGCATTGCGAAGATTGATTTCCTCAGACAAACGGTCGGGGGAGACGCGAATAGTCTTTAAAATTTCCTTCCCACCAATGACGGCGTGCGTCCGTTGCGGGGAGACGTCTAGGGCGGCTATGGGGATACCGGTCTTATGTGTAACAGTTTGGGATGCCCCAGGTCTGGAACTGACGTTAGTTCAATCGTTTCTAAGTGGCTTGGACTCAAGCTCTATGCGAGCGGTAGCCTCATAGGCGGTGGAGTGGTGGAAGCGAAGCCAAGCAAGGGAAGTAGGTGTGACAATGCTAAAATCAAAATGATAGAAACCCAAACCGAAGAAGGAAATGAAAGCCGTACAATGACTTGGACCTGGTTGGGCGGGGACCAGCAGACAGGTCTGCACGAACCGTTGAAGTATGCGGGCTGGGGGGCCGAGACCCAGAGAAAAAAGGCTGGGCAAATCTTGCTAGAGCATTGGCCGCTCGATGGGAGTATTTTTGACCTTGATGCACTGGCGCAGGAGGAGGAGGAGGGGGAGGAGCTGGAGACTGATGTGAAGTAGAAGTGTTGCCACGAGTGGGCAGTCGAGGAAGATCGGTCATGGTAGATCAAACGATGCACGACTCAGCATCGAGTCCAAGATCGTAGGAAGAAAAACAAAGCAGACAAGGTTTGTCGATCAAGACTCATCCTGATGAAGATCGAAGCTTCGGTCTCGATCATTAGGTAGGCCCCCAGCAATAGTCAGATGAGCAGCAAAAAATGCTTACAAAGATTGTGGAACAGAACACATAGAATGATACAGAGTACGGAGTAGTTAGTCACTTGATGGTCAACAATGGCAGCAATCCATGGATTGCCTGGGGGCGGGGACAGAAAGGGGGAGGCGGAGCCACTGCAGTTGCAAAAGGTGTGTACGGAGTATGCCTTCAAAGTAGAGGAAGCTGGGGAGTGGAGGTAGAAGGGCTTGGTCTTATTATTATTGGCTGGAACCAGACAGCGATGACCGAGTAAATGCAGCTCCAAAAAGAGACGGACAAGAAGGGGTACTTGGTTGGATGATGCTTGCAAGCTGGGTAGAGGGGAGGAATTGATGACAGGAGTGAGGATGATGCCTATGATGGATAATGGATAAACGGCAATAATGAATTGAGCAGGCCAATGGCAATACTCCACACTATGCTTCGATTGCTTGGCACACTCTCAAATAATGGATCAATGTACCTCCGTAGACAAATTGCAACGTTCTATGGATGTAGTCAGATGGTCATGATCAATTTAGTACCTTAGCGTAATAGAATAGAAGGACGGAAGAAGATGAGGATCAAAAAAAGAGTGGCAATGACTCGTGATGTGCGGGCTTTTGGGGGTGGGAATGATTTAGCGTCCAGAGTGGGTTCGTTTGTTTGCAGGCGGGAAGCAGCTAATCGATGATAGATTATCTTGAGGCTTTGAGCTCATGGAGCTGAGACTAACAATGTGAGACTAAATAATAATAGCAGCCACTCAGGTTGAGAACTCGTTGTACTAAGATGGAGTTTAGGCAGATAGAGTACCTAGGCAAGGTACTACTACTAGCTAGCAGTCTGTCCAAGGCAAACACTGGTATGTTACCTGTCCAGCTGACAGATCATAACCAGTTAGCAACAGGCAAGTTGACAAGGAGAATCCTTGGAATAATGGCTCTTGTGCACGGCCGTTGGGAAAGACAGGTGAGAAGGATTGCATATCATCATGGTTTTTGAAAAAATGTGTTGTCTTGGATACTACGTAGAGGTACTGTAGACATAGATGTATGCATATCGAATATCAAAGCGTTGGATACATGCATGCATGACAAGAGGCGGTCTGGAAGCTTTCTGCATCGATTAAGACACATGGGTAGTAGCTCACCAAACCAAAAGGTTAAGTGAAAAAAAAAGAAATGACAAGTCAGTTAATCTAAGTAATTGATCTGAGGAATCTAACTAGTCCACTATCTGGATCTGAGTTCTTCTATTAATAATGACTGACTTGAGTCTTACCTGGTGGTGTAGTGCTTTGAACTTTGTGTCTTAAACATCCATGGATACATACCAGCCATGAGAGATGTTTTAGATCATCCGGACACTCGGGACTGAAGGGTGGGACAAACTATCTAATCAGGGAAAAACAAATAACAAAACGTCAAGCGGCCTAACCAGGGCCTCAATGTACACAAATGAAAGAATCCGATTCGGATCTCGACATATTCCTCCATAGGTGTTAATTATTGTACTTTGGGTCATCAGGTAGATCTGCAGATGGGTTATGACTTCCCAGACGAGGTATAAATTCCTGAAGCGTTGTTTGTAATTGAACAGGTATACCACCCCTGAAAGCCTCAATCTGCTGTCAGCCACTTACGCAGATTGATACTACTCATACTTGAGGCATTGAAATTCTGGGCTGCACGTCTCTCATAGGGAATATTTATTGCTAAAAATTAGTGTCGAACGTCCAAGGTGCTAGACCAGCGTCATCGAATGCCATTAATTCAAATATGCAATTCAGACCACGATGAAAATCGGAAATTCTACATCTAAAGTTGGATTTGGACTATAGCCCAGCGTCCAGAGTACCCATAAGGCTGGCAGTTAACAACCTTCGACAAACAAAGCCGCATGGTTTGATTGCAGCTCGGACCATTCATCGATCGAGGTAAGCAGTAAATTCTTACTACCTGCGGTATATCGAAGATCTACCTTGACTGGTTCTCCAACGATTTCCCTGCGCTTGCTGACCAGTCATCTTTCTGTCTCACCCTAGAGTCTAGAGCGTTCATTGTCTCTCAAAAGGTTGGACTCGAGCACTACTTGCGTTTTGAAGCTCATGTCTGACATCCAATCTCTTCCATTCTACACCATAATCTCTCCTCCTCATCGGAAGGATCCTTCTGCTCCATAAGCCAATCATAACTTTTAGTGGAGCTGTTGGATCCCTGTAGGGTTTGGGCATGAAGCTCAGACCTTGCCTGTTCAATTTATAGAATCCCTTGAGAACGTTGCCAACTGGCGTCTCCATGGCCATTCATGCTTCTAATCTAGACAAACGATGACGGGAACGAGTTAGACACGATCCTTGATCCCGCGAAGTGGATTTGAGAGGGAATGGTCTTGAGGGAAATCAAAATTAAAGGAAACCCTTAGACGACAGGTCGATCCGAACAAAAGGTGTTAGAAAGATACCCTAAGATAGGTAGTCATCCGACCTAAGGGATACGTACACCTAAAATATCGGCGGAGATGCATACCAAGGTAACCTACAGCTGTTGAAGCCCACTGGATTTTCTTGATTTTGGTTGGAATTTTCTGCTACGTCGGAATATTATTAACATAACTTTTCATTTTATTATTTTATTTGATTTATTTTAGCACTAGTATCTATCTGGCAGTGGACTAGTAGTGATCGATAGACTGCTCCGTACCGCCTGCTAGAATTTTGCCTCCCAGGATCCACAAGCTTCAGCAGGCTCGAACGGAGCTAACCAGACTATGGAGTAGTTAAACCAGTCCCAGAGAGAAAAACAGATTCTCGACTCCGTCCGGATCCTGCATGGCGGAACCCGCACACCGTCATTCCACCCAGACTAGTTATTATTCCCTCGCCCTCGATGATCAATACTGAGCTCGATCTCTCCATTGATCTGCTCCTCTACCTTTTCTTTCACTCACTCTCCTTCCTCTCTCCTTCCCGATCTCCTCTTCTTTCGCTATCCCTCTATCTCTTGTATGGTCCAATGCTTCACCATATAGTAGGGGCTTTTCCTTCATCCCTGTTCGTGTCCTCGTCCTCACGTATAGCTTTTTAATCAATACGCGTTTTTGTTCTGTTGTACCTATTGTCTGCATTCTTCTATTCTTCTCACTGCTGTTTTCTTGCTTTTGTCTTTTGTCGTTCTGCGTCGCCTGAATTGGTACCGAGGTTCGTTATCACGACCAGGAAGGGGAAACGAAGAGCTGCAGCGTTCGTTCAGTCTCTACAAGCCTACATAACAGTTAATCCGCAGGCCCTCTATTTCTCGACTGCCCTCAGGCCACTGTTCCTACACTGACAGTCGTTTCCGGCCCGATTCCTACTCCAACTCGCTGTCCCTACCGCTTCTTTTTCGTATCCCTCGGTCAAGACGGAATAATACGGCAATTGTGTCATGGAAACGTTTTGATGAACCTGTGATTGTGTCGGATATTGCGCGGGAGGATCGATCATGATGGCGTCTCATCATGGAACGCGTGAGCTGTTGGCGTACCTTCGCACAGCCTCCCCAATTGTACTCCTCGTTGTTTTCGTCGTGGCTTTTGTGACCAACTCCATTCGCACTGCTAGAACTGTGACCCAAAATGGCAATGCAGTGTGCACAGGACCGGGTGGACGACCTCTACCAAAGCGGTCAAGAAGCACAATGGTCGTCGTGAAAGAAACACAGAAGTTCTCCCAGAGCGCGAAGCTGCTTTTCAAGTGGCTGTCGGCTGGTGTGCTCGTCACTTTGGTTGCCGATGCCGCCATCAACGTGGCTCATGTTATGGTTGCCAGATCGGAGCACTGGTGGTGTGGCCAGGCTGTGGTGGTAAGTCGGACAACTTGAACGATTGATGCGTCGGTTGTCGACCCAGCGCTGATAGATATATGTCAGATCTACGTTGTGGGTTCATTTTTCGTTTACGCGGTAATCCTCGTGTCTCTGTTAGACAGTAAACCCTCTCCGTCCTCAACCCAGCTCATTCCATGGATTATCGCAATCCCCTTCGAATTGKCCATTGTGGGGGCCTCCCTTTCTATCTACTCCACCGTTCACCATGAACCCGTGGTAGGGAACCCTTCTGGTGGTCGACTACGGCAGGGCATGACAGGATGGGAGTCAATGGAGATCGTCTCCAATTGTATCAGAGTACTCATTTTGGCGATATTGGTTTTAATCTACTTGTTCTGCTCGATCAGTGCGAGGACCAGTGCACGGAAGGCAGCCCGAGACCAGACCCATGGCCCAACCGAGTCGACAGGATTGCTCGATCCCGCGCACGCAGAAACAGGCACTAATGGCACGGCTTACGGCTCGACTCATGCCGCTCAAGGAAACCAGCAACCTTCCAAACCGGCCGACCCATGGGTCCGTCCAACCACAGTTCCGTCCACCAGCTGGTGGGAATATCTCAGTGGCTATTCTCTATTTTTTCCGTACCTGTGGCCTTCCAAGTCCCGTCAATTGCAGTTGATTGTGATCATCTGTTTCATCCTGATTGTTCTCCAACGTGTCGTCAATGTTTTGGTCCCCTACCAGGTGGGAGTGATCACCAATATCTTGTCGAAAACTGACGGTGACTTCCGTGTCCCGTGGTTTGAAATCTGTCTCTATATTCTTTACCGGTGGCTACAAGGCAATCAGGGCTTGATCGGTTCGCTGCGGTCTAGCCTATGGATCCCAGTGAGCCAGTATTCTTACATGGAGCTTTCGACGGCTGCCTTTGAACACGTGCATGGTCTCAGTCTCGATTTCCACTTGGGAAAGAAAACCGGTGAAGTGCTATCTGCCCTGAGCAAAGGCAGCTCTATCAATACCTTCCTGGAACAGGTCACTTTTCAGGTTGTACCAATGCTGGTAGATCTGTGTGTCGCCATCGGATACTTGCTTATTGCCCTTGACGCTTATTATGCACTCGTCGTTACTATCGTCACCTTTTGCTACCTTTATGTTACCGTACGCATGGCCCAGTGGAGAGCAGAGATCAGACGACAGATGGTCAACGCATCGAGGCAAGAGGATGCTGTGAAGTAAGTTTTGCCTATAAAATATCACGAGGAAATTGAAGGCTGACATGGTGGATCAGGAACGATTCTATGGTCTCATATGAGACCGTCAAGTATTTCAACGCAGAGGACTACGAATTTAACAGATATCGGGGTGCCGTTTCGGACTATCAAAAAGCCGAATACCATGTTCTCTTTTCTTTGACTTTGATGAATACGTCCCAGAATACCGTTTTCATGCTGGGTTTACTGATCGCATGTTTCATTGCCGCCTATCAAGTCTCTCTGGGCCAGCGGGATGTGGGCCAATTTGTGTCCCTTCTCACGTACATGGCACAGCTTCAAGGGCCTCTCAACTTTTTCGGCACCTTTTACCGCTCGATCCAATCGGCCTTGATTAACTCGGAGCGAATGCTAGAATTATTCAGGGAGCAGCCCACTGTGGTTGATAAGCCTGGCGCAATGCCTCTGGCTGTATGCAAAGGTGACATTAAGTTCGAGGACGTTGAGTTTGCGTACGATACCCGCAAGCCTGCCTTAAATGGTCTTACGTTCCATTGCGAACCGGGCACAACCACAGCACTCGTTGGCGAGTCAGGCGGTGGCAAGTCAACCGTTTTCCGTCTCCTGTTCCGATTCTATAACGCGAGAAATGGACACATCCGAATCGACGGACACGATGTGGAAAAAATTACGATTGATTCGCTCCGAAGACACATCGGGGTTGTGCCGCAAGACACGGTTCTTTTTAACGAAACTTTGATGTACAATCTGAAATATGCCAACCAGAACGCTACGGATGAGGAAGTTTACGAGGCTTGTCGCGCTGCCAGCATTCATGATAAAATCATGTCCTTCCCTGATGGCTACAACACCAAGGTGGGCGAGCGTGGTCTCCGACTCAGTGGAGGAGAGAAACAGCGGGTGGCAATTGCTCGAACCATCTTGAAAAATCCCCGGATCATCCTCTTGGATGAGGCGACGGCCGCACTGGATACAGAGACCGAAGAGCACATCCAAGGCGCGCTATCGACTCTTTCCCGTGGCCGCACCATGCTGGTCATAGCACACCGCCTCAGTACTATTACCACAGCGGATCGCATCTTGGTCTTACATGAAGGTAAGGTCGCAGAAAGTGGCACGCATGATCAGCTACTGGCTATGAAAGGCCGGTATGCTAGCATGTGGCGCAAACAGATTCGAGCCCAGCGCGCGGCCGCAGAAGCGCAAGTTCTTCAAGATCGCGCCCAACGTCTGCGAAGTGCATCTACGACTGGTGTTGGAGACGACAGCTCCAGCCAGTCTGATGAGGACCGCAACGGCAAACATCATCCGGCCACAGCTCGACCAGCGCAGGGTCAATATTCCGGCAAATCTTCGGATGATAGCCAGAAAGGGTAAGAGTATGAACACGGTTATAGGGTCATCCACCCCCGTTTTTATTCTTCTCGGGTAAAGGAACAGTTCATGCTATGGAGAGCGATTTCGTTTGTCATTATAGAGTTGACGGAGTGATGAGATACCATTCTCGGGTTTTCCGATTAATTTTCTGCCTTTCTGTGCTGTCTTGCCGTCCTACTATCGAGTTTATCGGCGTTCTGAGTGGCTTACGTGATGGCAAGAAGTTTTCTGGGATTTTGTAAACGCCTGGCCTTTACTTTGCAGCACAGGTGGAGCAAAACGGTTCAATGCTTGGATAGCAAGGACATTAGACTACCTATCTAATTACATCGCCAGAACGGCTTCTTTGGCAGCTTTACTCCTGGGGTTTATGAACGCGAAGGAAACAGTAGTGTGCTTGATGCCTGAGTGATGCCTGAGGCTTTACAGATGTGTTTGGGCGGATTGCCATTGAGCAGGCTTCGATTGGCTGCCGCTTACATCACCGCTCCTCACCAGTTCAGCAGCCTGAAATTCCAGGCATGAATCTATTCTAGCTTCAACCGCATTTTCGATTCCTGGGCATCCTTTTCCATTGAATCGGTCAGCGTCGGATACCATTTTACGGATATCCCGCAGAGCGTCGATCGCTAGAAGAAGCTTCAACAGTCCACGTCTATGCGTTACACTCACCCGCGGAATCATTTCGACCTCGATGATGCAGTCTCCATCAGCCCAGTTACTCCGAGCACTGCGCACCAGCATCTCCGGCACCCGCAGCACCCGCACTGGCAATCTTTGCTCAACTATCCCTAGATCCAGCTCTGCCATACGATCGACTGCTACGTTAGGGCCTTCCCGCCGCAACAACAGCAACCATGCCCGCCCGACCCGAATGATCCCTCGCTCTCATACGCCAAAGCCAACCAGCCATGACCGAGGCCCACCTTCGAAGGAGGACACGCAGACAGATTTCGCCGCACTCAATGTGCTAGGCAATATACCCGCGCCGACGACCGCCATTGATGCCTGCCTTGATTCCGGGTTTCATCTGAATAGCGGGGTCAAGGTTACCGGTGGGGATGGGGTGCTGCTCGTTGGCGGGGAGGCTTTCGCCTGGAGGCCCTGGAAAGTCAATGAGGGCACGAAAGCAGGCATGTTGAATAAGAAGGGCCAGTTTGAGGTGGATGAGCAGGCGTGGGGGCTCCTGGGGCTTGTGTGGCCTCGTCCTGGTGAGTCGGCATTTTCCCTGGTGCTGCCAAAGGCGAGCTGACCATGTTGATTTCCTTTGTGCTAGACTTGCTACTTATTGGTATGGGGGCTTCGGTGTTTCCCTTGTCCCCTGATACGAGACGACATATCAATTCCCTGGGTATTCGTGTTGAGGTGCTTGATACTAGGAATGCGGCTGCGCAGTTTAATTTGCTTGCTACCGAGAGAGGCGTTTCGGAGATTGCTGCAGCTATGATTCCTATTGGGTGGCATGGGAGGTAGAAGACTGATTCTTCTACAGATGTGAATATGTCTGAGCGGAATCGGTCGTTAATGCTTCTGTTATACCCATCCATTCTGTCCCGCTATTTGTACACTATCTAATACATACACTCCAATAGTTCATTGTACATCTTCATCGCCGTAGAATGTCAGAAGATAATCAGTGCCCATGATGCAATTCAGGTTCTATTCTAGGTACAGTCGAGAGATGCAGTACCCTACTGTAGATTGGTTATCTCATCAGAGCTTATCAAGCGAATCAGCGCGTGACGTATTCCGAGTCCCGTGAGCTGCCAAGCCTAATGCAGCTGTAGCCACAAGGGACTCCTGTCCCTAGCTTCAGGATTCCTCAACTTTCTCGCTCTACGCTCGTTAAATGATTCAGTGCATCAAATAGATCTCGTTGATTACATTCTCTAACTCATCTGAGACATCCTGCCTAGTATGGCGCGAGACGAGCCTCTTTTGGCTCCGCGCCCTTCCTCGGAGAACGCTTCGATCCGGAATGCGGAAGAGGAGGACGCACTGCTGACTGGGGAGCGGACCGGGCGAGGCCAGGAACGACGGGGCTGGCCTTTCTGGCGACAAGTCGGTCTCTTCAGCTGGGCGCTCCTAGCAACAATTGCTGTTATCGTGCTCGCCGTCGTCTACCAGCATGAGTCGAGCAAGACGGATGTTGGCTCGAGACCCCCTTGGGGCCCGGGAGGAAAACCGACCGGCAAACGCAACCTGATCTTCATGGTGTCGGACGGAATGGGCCCTACCAGTCTTACCATGACCAGAAGCTATAGACAATTCGCCGAGGGACTGCCGATTGACGACATTTTGGTGCTGGACGGCCACCACATCGGAACTTCGAGGACGAGGTCGAGTTCTAGTCTGGTGACGGATTCGGCTGCCGGTGCGACGGCTTTCTCTTGCGGTTTTAAGAGTTACAATGGTGCCATCTCTGTGCTTCCGGATCATTCGCCCTGTGGAACCGTCCTCGAGGCTGCGTCGTTGGCCGGCTACAAGACCGGACTTGTTGTGACGACTCGGATCACCGATGCCACCCCTGCCTGCTTTGCTTCGCACGTGAACATGCGACAATACGAAGACCGGATCGCCGAGCAGGAAATTGGCGAGCACCCACTCGGGCGCGTTGTCGACCTTATCTTTGGTGGTGGTCGTTGCCATTTCCTGCCCAATTCGACCGATGGGAGCTGCCGGGCAGATGATCGCGACTTGGTCAGCGTCGCAAAGGACAAGGGATTCAGCTACCTTGATGATCGGAAGGGCTTTGACTCACTGAATGGCGGATCGGAAGCCAAGCTACCCCTCCTGGGTCTGTTCGCGGAGAAGGACATTCCGTTTGAGATTGACCGTCGTAGTCAGAACGACGTCTACCCGTCTCTAGAAGAGATGGCGCGCACTGCACTCAAGATACTCAGCGATGCTACCGCTGATAGCGAGCAGGGCTTCTTCTTGATGATCGAAGGTTCCCGTATTGATCATGCCGGACACGGCAACGATCCCGCAGCGCAGGTCCACGAGGTTATTGCGTACGATAAGGCATTCGCTGCAGTGCTGGAATTCCTCGAGAAAGACTCGACGCCCGGTGTTGTGGTTAGCACATCTGACCATGAGACGGGTGGCCTGGCCGCCGCTCGGCAGCTGCATGCCACCTACCCGGAGTACAAATGGCTTCCGGGGGTTCTGGCCAACGCCAGCCATTCAACTGAATTCATTGACAACAAGCTTCGGGAGTTTCTCTCTACGGACACGAAGAAGAACGAGCAGCAACGTTATGTTAGAGAGCTTTTGGAGAAAGGTCTAGGTATCACCGATGCCACAGACGAGGAGGTCGATTCTATCCTCGATCCAAATTCGCCGATAAACTCCCAGTATCAGTTTGCCGACATAATCAGTCGAAGGGCGCAGATTGGCTGGTCGACCCACGGCCATTCTGGTAAGTGCCAGCCTCTATAGCATGAAGAAATGGAGATCGGCTAACCGTCGCAGGTGTGGACGTCAACATCTATGCATCGTCTTCGAAAGATGCCTGGGCCCTGGTTGGGAACCACGAAAATACCGAGGTTGGCCAGTTTCTGGCAGACTATCTTGACCTGGACGTGAAGAACATCACCAAGCACCTACAATCATCCAGCGCCTGGTCATTCGCGGGCGTTGAAGGGGTGTCTTCCACAGACCGGCCCTTCACTTGGCTAGGGGATCCTTTGGGCGAGAACGTCCGCACCGAGGGCTTGGATACCTACCACGGAGAGTTCAGGAAACGCTCTATGGAAGTGGACGGCATGGAGAAGAGGGAGTGCGGGTGCGGAGGAATGCACTGATTTAATTGAACAGGCTGAGCAAGTTTATATCTCATTTCCTTCAGGAGCACGGCGTTTGGACATATTATCATATCAAGCATCAATGACATTATCTGTGGCAACCAACCCCAATCACATGATCGGCTTCAGTTACCTTCTTTCTACCGTCATTCATCACCGTTCCTGACCACCCAGACACCTCCCACCAAACAAATTAACTACAGAACAGGGGTAGCAGCGTCTCGAGGGGGAGAGAGCGTCGCACTGACTACCTATTGACCATATCGTCGACGACGAAAAAATAAAAGAAAATGAAAAAACATACAACAGCCGGGATTCGCTGGTGGTCACCCACCCAACTACTAACCGGCCGGCGTGCGGCTTAAGTACGGCTGAGCGGACGGGAAGCCCTGTTTTCCACACCCTGTGGTCGTATGTGCCTGTTTAGATTCAACAGGGAGTCATATACAGAGGACTATATCTATTTATTCCAGTCGACGGCAACTGTCAGTTGATACGTCGAGTGTATATGTATTTTGAGCGTCCGAATAAGCTGTAGCTGTCATTCTCCATGTGTTTGGGTACTCTATGGAGTAGAGTCTGGAATGAAAGATGTTGATGGCTTGATGAAAGCACTGATGTATGGACGGACGGTGATAAAGCTGGTAGAAGGCGTAGAGTTGAAAGCGTGGGTTGTTACAGTTGGGATGTACGTTGCTGTGTTGACGCACGGGTCTCTGTAAATGCGTTGCGAGACGTTGGGAGATAGTGAGTGGTTCATGAGCAGAAGGATTGCAATGGGAGAGGGCGGTATACTCTACTGTGTATGCAGGAATAGCATGGGATGAAAGAAAGCTTGTGTTGTTAGGTGAATGATCTAGAGTCCACTAAGAAAGACTGAGCCTACAGAGCTTCAGGGACACTATATTGTAACCATCATGCATTGACTAGGGTATTACACTGTCAAAACACCAACAGATGCAGAAACAACCATAATAGTTGAAACATGAGCGCAATAAACCTCCATCAGGCCGAGAGTATTAGCAGAATGGTGCATATGCCCATGCGTATGTGTATGTGTGTATGTATATCCAAAGGCGAGACTCGCCGTGGGAGATGAAAACGGTCTCTCGAGGTGGGCGCAGTGTCGTTCCATGCGCACATCATTACTTTAACATGAAACATCCGAATCAGAAACGGTGGGTCAAAAATGAA